ATCAGTTAACATCTCCTCCACCAAATTAAATCCTGAGAAAACACTAAACAAGCCATTCTTGAAGAGAACTGCAATTTAGACAAGAATTGTAGTTACAAGCAATATATATTCCTTCTTTTTCCTTTTCTAGTCAAATAACTTTATAGCTCGTGCTTGTTTTGGCAACCTGCAAAAGGTAACTACTTAATGGTAGGTTAAAAATGCATGTAGGAAGGCTGTTCTACCACGTGTACAACTTCCTGGTAAGTTTACACATGCAGGGCTACTTTTTGAGTATCAAACAAGGTTTGGTGTTTGACACTAAAGTTTGTGTTGAGTGTAAATTTGGTTTATATTAAAAAAAAAAAAAAGAAAAGTCACCCATATATTTTCAAGATTTGAGTCTGTGGAATTACTGATGGTTTTCTGGGATCGTTTTCCTGAGAGACTGACAAGGCTACAAAGCATATGCTGTAAATAGCATTTTGGAGGCTATTTTAATAAAAAACACTAAGTTTTCTTCCTGCCTTCTCATTCCAGTGGATGTTACCAAAATACCCATTGTGCAAGAGCCCTCACATCTATTCTGCTATTAAACAGGAAATTCAACATGGAAGATTGTTTCATGCATTTACAACTCATGTTACACTTGTGCCCTAATACACTAATCACACTTTGTATCAGTGTAAAGCATCACCAAACATTAAGATCAATACAAAACTTTCTTTACTTATATTACTTGCCTTAACAACATGTCTTATTGAACCAATCACTGCAGGCTTTAGAGATTTGCATTCACTTTGTTCTTCAGAAGTACCTGCACCCCAAATATCTGGGAGTTCCAAGTCTCCTTCTTCCAGGGGAATGGAAGGGCCTTCAAAATTTGGTTTCTCATAGAGTATCCAGCTTAAAATAAAACATTTTCATTTTAAATGGTGTTTTACCAAATGTGATTTGCAAAAATCATGCTCCCATTTAAGAAATCCTTTCACAAGGAGTATTATTTCCAGAACCTTCCCACCACCCCAGTACAGCTTATCTACCCAACACTGCTGACATAAACCATTTCTGGTATCTGTGATAGTATTAAAAACAATGACAAAAACCAAAGATGCCTACTGCTGACTTTGGAATTTCATCAAAAGCTTCTCCACCTTTTTAAATTCATGATTTGGGGCAGCAAGACTACTGTCTACAAATACCAGACTGTGGATGAGGTATTAATCAGAACCAATTTGTAGGTCAGAAAATGTTGACACTGCAGGCTGCTACACCATATATCAACGGACAAACTCCTTAGATCCTGCAAACAGCAGCCTGGAGTTGCACAGGGGCTGGTATAGATGCGCCACAGGATGGTAAGACTGCTTAGAAGACAAGCACAACTTTATTTTTAATGGTAGGTTTGAATATGCAACTAGATAAAAATCATATCCATCTGCAAATACAAAACCCTCCCCTGGAGCTCTCGGTGGTTGAAGACGGGAGAAAAAAAAATCCCAGTCCCCTAGTCCATCCAGGAAAAGAAGACCTGGTTCACACAGATCAAAAGATCATCATTCCAGTTTTCTGAAGCTAAACAGCAATCGGTGTGCTTCCCAGGACCTCCTGCTGCAGCAAGTCCTTGTTTCTGCAGTTTACTATCAGATTATTACTTTTGAGAACCTACTATTTGACTATATTATAGCCTGGCCACAACCTAACTTGCCACACTGTCCACACTAATAATGGCTACAAAGAATGCAGGAGATGAACTTGTTTTGATTGCTCTTTGGCAATGTAACTTCTAGAGAAAAATTCCCTCTGGACTTACCAGAGAAACAGTCGATTATCTCTACAGTACCACATTAGACTTTGGACATAGAATTAATCTTCTGTATCCAAACCCATGTCAGATTTGACTTTAAAACCCTTTGCTAGCCTTTTAGACTTACTGTGAATTACATGCTGGTTCTGTTTCAAAAGATTCTTGTACAGACCAATGATAAAGAGTAAAATTTAATCTCTTACCATCCTCTGATGACTTTAACTAAAATTGTTGGGGACAGAACCCAAGAACTGCAATCCAGAACATCATGGAAGACTTCAATACTGGTTTTTTGATAGTCTGGTTCACAGTATATCACCAGCTGTGTAAAACAAAACAAAACAAAATCCAGCAACACATATATTTCTATCTTGCTATACTTTAAATATAGAGAGGAACAGTAAAGATGATAAAATTGGTCTTACCTTGCCAGGTCTAGGATTGATTTTACTTTGTCCATTTCTTGAAAGTGCCTAATAGACAGTGGAAAGAGAAATGTAACCAAAAAAAATAAACCCAAACCAAAAACGCATTCAACAAAGATGCTCAGGCATAAGAAAATAGCTAGTGACACAAAAAAAATTAGTCTGAATAGTAAAAAGCTGATAACACTTCAACTACACCTAGTTACTGCTTCAATTTCTTCTTCCTCCTTTCTTCAAAGAGTGTGAGACACCGTGCAATAAGCAGTAGACTAAAAAAACTAAAAATGCCAAGAACAAATAAACTACATTGAGGTATACAAAACCTAAAACAATGCTGAAGTCAGTGGTAAATTATATGATATAGAATATATGGGAAAGTTGTGGTTGCATCACCTCATCTTAGAGCAAATAAAGCAAGTGTTGCAATTATGCATTTGGTTTCCCAGCAAGGATACGAGTGCCCATTCTGGGAGAGGGTCCTGCTCTTCTAGGAACTATTCATACAAACAAACAAACAAAAAACCCAAACAGATCCTGCCCCAAAGTCGGTTGCAGCCTAAGATAACCAGCAACAAGTGCAAGGAGATAATGGGAACGTATTAGTCAGGATGCAGGGCAGGCAGTGGTCGCAGGTCTGAGTTCTTCTTAACCACCATCAGATTTCTGTAGGCATCATCAAGACACGCTGAAGCATAACTGGTTTTTTAGCCTGTGCTTCAGTTCCAGTTAGAACTTGCTCTGTGTTTTAAGGAATGCCAAAAGTCATTGTTTCTGGCTGCCCTTACTCTTTTCCTTCACATTACCCATTAGCCATTGCATCATCGTTTTCTTAAGTCAGTGGAAAAGGCATAGCATGCACACATCACAAACATTCTTGGTTCCTGGCTAACTTGAGCAAGACACTTTGGAATCAGGAACAGTGGCGCAGATGTTCTGGAACCCTACAGAGCCTAACGGGCTTCTCTCAAGAGCAGTCTTATGTGTGTACATACTCCCTTGACATAGCAGGCCACCACACACTACTGAATAATTTCAACTCACTTGGGTACAACAGTTTAAGCAGCAAAAGAAAATCAGTACTAGTCATTTAGCTTTAAACTCGGGTTTTGAAACCCAAGCATGACCATCCAGAGTAAGAAAGCTTTTTTAACTGGCAGCATAAGTCTACACCACTGCAAATAACCCCCCCAATTTTCACCCCCACACCAATTAAAAAACTTTCCATGAGAAAAACATCTACATTCTCAAAATTGCAGGGTATTGTGGATTATTTCCTTCTGTAAGGTGTTATTCTGCAAAGTATTATTAGAAAGGAGTTATTTCTACTACTCCCCCACCTCTTTTGGTACAACTGTAACAGCAGATAAACATTAGCTTTGAAAAAGTATTTCTCAAACTTCTTATATGCTGCTTCAATTCCAAAGATCACATTAATGCGGCTATTAAACTTTGGAGAACATATTTCTTCCCACGGTTCTTAGATCTCCTGATTATAGTTTTCCTCTTGGATAACAGCAGGGGCCCACAGAAACAGAAATAGCAGATCCTACAGGACATTGGTTCATCATTTTGAAAATAGAAATTACAAAGGGCTCCCACACTAAGTGAAAGTGGCTTCAAAGGGAAAGGTCTGCCTTCACTCAACATGAACAGATGCTCAAAATCAGAAGAAGGAGCAGCCCTCCACTGTAGCAGCATTTTCAGTAATCATTATTATCCAATTCTTACAGTGTTCTTAAAGAATACTTATTTTTTTATCAAAAGCATGGGAATGCTGGTAACAAAAACAGAAGGCTAAAAAAATATAGTCTGCCTGTTACTCATTTACCAGTGCAATGGCTGAATGTCTTGCCGGAAGAGAAGAGAGAGATTACTGTCAACAGAAGAACAGGCAAGCTTTCTGAAGTTCATAGAAAGCATTCTACTGATTTCCAACAAAAAATACAGTTAGCATGAGATTTGTTTCAAAATAATACAAGATCAAGTATGAAGACACATTAAAACACACAACCCATATTTGTGAAGACTCTTACATAAGGGCACAGTGAAGAAACACGTTACTAAATGCCATCTTATTTTCACGCATAGCCAACATCAGATGAAACTGGTACTATACCTACGTTCAACACTATGTATTTATAAACTACATATGTTCCTAAAAGGGGAAACAAAACCAAACAATGTATGCACATTGTCTGTAGAAAATAAAAAAGCTGGATAACCTTCCAGGCATATTTTAGACAATACAATACTTACATCCACATCTAATAAACCAGTGGGGACATTTGATTCATATCCACTTGTCCCTAGCCAGCTGGAAAAACTTTTCTCAGGGTTCCCATAGTTGGGCATTTGTAAACTTAGTTCTTTTTTTGCACTATCTGCTTGCATGTACTTCTCCACAAAACTTGGAAACTTCATATCTGAAAGAGACTAAATTGCAAAATTGAAAGTTAACCATCATTCAGCAGACGGACAACATTTTACACAGTTGCATTTCATGAATGATCTTTACCTCAGATTTTTGAGCCACGCCGAATAGCCCAGAAGTATCCTGTTGTAAAGGAGGCATCCCTGAGGAGTCTGTTGTAAAAGCTGCTGCGGTGTTATTTACTGAGGTGACAGAAGGGTTAAAAAGATTTTCTTTAGATGTAGAAGACAGCAAGCTTGAGAAAAGGGAGCTTTTTTCAAGCCGGGATCTCTTAATTTCACCATCTGTACCATCAGTGCTGTCTTTTCCATTTATTTCCTGAGTAAAGGCAGGTTCCTCCCTATTACATGATTGCAGGGCTTTGAATAGGATACTCTGCTCTGTTGAAGCACGCTTGGGCCTGACTCTGGCTATCGTTTCCAGGCTTTGCATTTTAATTTGCTGGGCCGGTAACAGATCCTGTGTTTTATCCCTCCTCAGTCCCAAACCAAAAGTAAATACACTAGGATCAAAGACTTTCTCCAAGTTGTCTTCGTGAATGGGAGGCATTGCAAAGTGGGGTGCTGGGGACTTGGGAAGCTTTGACCTTTTCTTTTTCTGGGGTAAACAAACCGAGCTGTCCAAGTTTTTTATTGTTTCAGCAAACTTCTTCATGTCGGATGGGGAATCAAAAACGCTATCGTCTTCAGCAGATCCATTACAAGTTTTGCCTGGGCTCTGCTGTGCATTCATGTTGTGCTCTGATATCAATAAACTATCTTGACTGCCGTCATCATCATCCTGCAGTGATGCAAAGCTCAAATCTCCCGGCTTTGCCTTTTTATCTCCGTTTTCCATCTTCCTAAATTCTGATCTAGAAGCCTGATGAGATGGCAGAGGATATTTATCAATGTTGCCAGATGAGAAAACCTCTGTGTTTAATAGCATCTTTTCTTCATTTCTGTGGAATTCTGAGCTTGTGTTACTTCTTGGGTGGGAAGTATCATGAGCATTTTCACTTCTGCTGGGCAAGGACAGTTTAAAAGGTGAACTTTCTTTTTTAGCTGCCCTTAATTCTGGATCAGGTTGCTTCAGAGAGACACTACCAGCATCAATTTTGCTGCTTTGGTTAAAAAGGGATATTGCAGCTTTTACTTTAAGTTCTGTTGTCTTCCCAATATCCTCAGAAGAGGCATAGCCTTCTTCACTTTTGCCTTTTAATTCTGCACCGCTTTCTTTCTCTGCTGTGCCATTCTCAAGTAACTTCTGGCGACTGCTTTGCTTATTTAACATTTTATCAGGCTGTTCACTTTCCTTAGGTTGTTTTCCAAATTTCAGCTTTGCTCTGCCAACAAATGTGCTTGGTACAGTACTATTTTTTGAAGCAGGGATGTCAGCAGGCCTCTGGCTCTGGTTAGCGCATTTATTTTCAAACAAGGAAATTTTGTTGGCAATGTTGCTGTTAGTTTTATTAACTGGTTTTTCAAGAGTATCCTGCTCACTTTCTAAATTGTCTTGATTCGTAGATGGTTTAAAATTCAGCTCCACATTCTTTGGTTTCGCTGGACTACAGGAGGCAAAGTGATAGAGTTACATCTTTGATTAACCTTGGAAATACTTGCAATAATTTGTAAAATAATAAAATGTAGCATTATAATAAAATTTTCCGTAGTCATATTCAGTTTAACTTTGATACCTCAAAAGGAATTAACTAAGAAAGGAGTAACTATATGAACAACAACAAAAAAAAATTAGACACTAAATAAGGAGAATACATTTCAAACATGTATGTAGTTCTTTAATGCTCGATAAAACAAAAAAACACAGCAGCCTACAGCATCTACAATTGAGGCAGAGAACTTAACTACTTATGATTGACAGACATTAAAATTTAAGAGTAAATAGAATAAATTATACCCATGCAATTCCCTACAGAGTTTAGGAAACAAATCCCCATTCATTAAGGTGATAATGAGTTGGTTAACATTTGAATATACCTCTCTGACAAGTTTTGAAGACATCTGCCCAGATTCTTTGCAGCCCTTACGCTGCAGAAGCAACCTTAAATCCAGTGAAACACCTCTTCTGTCCCCATTAGTGCTGGTGGAAAAGGGAACTGTCCCAGGTCACTGCATCACCACTTTGCTAAGCAACCACCACATGTGAGGACTCTTCCACTTCCTTCAGGTAAAGTCAGCTAATAATTTAAATTGTGTAAACTAACCCTACTGATTTTACAAGGATTTAATTAGGAAACACAGAAACTTCTCCATCAGAGTCAACAGAGAAGTGTGTACAAGTACATAGTACATAGTACTCATGTACTATGGCAGAAGGCTGCTGACATGCACTGAGGTGTTTAAGTCTCCTTTCTCTGAACACCTACACCCAGGAAAAATCTTTTGCCTCTGTCACTTGTTACTGCAGGAACAGTCTGAACAGCTGTGAACATAGAACCATAGAATGGTTTGGTTGGAAGGGACCTTAAAGCCCATCCAGTTCCAACCCCCCTGCCATGGGCAGGGACACCCTCCACTAGACCAGGTTGCTCAAAGCCTCATCCAGCCTGGCCTTGAACACTTCCAGGGATGGGGCATCCACAGTTTCTCTGGGCAACCTGTTCCAGTGCCTCACCACCTTCTCCGGGAAGAACTTCTTCCTGATATCCAATCTAACCCTCCCCACTTTCAATTTAAACCCGTTACCCCTTGTCCTGTCACTACAGGCCCTTGTAAAAAGTCCCCCCCAGCTTCCTTGTAGCCCCTTCAGGTACTGGAAGGTGCAATAAGGTCTCCCCAGGAGCCTTCTCTTCTCCAGGCCGAACAAGCCCGATTCTCTCAGTCTTTCTTCATAGGCTGAACATGCAGGACACCTGTCTTGAGAATTTATCAGTCAGATATAAGGAGTGTCAAGCAGCCCACCACCACCTCAAAGGAACGGGGAGACACTCAGCAGTGGGAGAACAGGCAGAAATTGCACTTTGAAAACTGACAATGGTGAGGGATTAAAAAAAAAATAGCTGGCAGCAATGATCTCCAGGACCTCAAGTGCTCTATCAATCAGTGCATGATGATGGTATTTAAGTGCTCTCTTCTTTTTCACCTACATAAACTGTGTTCACTGAGCTCTTAAACACTCTTTAGCCCAAGAAAAAAGCATAAGGTACAGGTGAGTTAACACAAACAAACAAAAAACTGAGACCACTCCTTTCTCCTCTTTCACAAAAAACCTATTCCAAGAAAGTAAACCCTACTAAAGCAAGGGTCTCCATTGTAAAAGCTTATTTTCTTGGGAAAAGGATGAGAAACAAATTTACTGAATTAACAGAAATAACCCAAAATCAGCTGCCTAAGAACCTACACAGAAAACAACTGTTAAAGTCACCATGTCTTTTCAGAGAAGACTTCCCTGCAATGCTCACTGTAACTAACAGCCTGCTCATGTTGGTTCACAAACGAAAGGTTCTTATGAAATACACGTAACTAATGAAAAAAGGAAATGGTAAACTTAAAATCAACTGGCCATACTTTAGAGAGGAGCTAATAAAACACACTTGCAAAATCTAAGTCTAGAAACAGAAAAAAATTATTCCTGAAAAGGAGAAGGCAGGGAGGGAACTATCACACAGAATAAAATGAAATCCACTTAGACCCTACCTTTCATTTGCAGTATGTCTTTGTTCCTAAACTTTCCAAAATTAAATTATTCTATGATTTTTCTTTTTGGAAAATGAATATACATTGCAAGGGACCTCTAAAGGTCAGCTAGACCAACCTCCAGCTCAAAACATGGACAGCTTCAAAGTCAGATCAAGTTGCTGAAGGCTTTGGCTGACCCAGTTCTAAGTATCTTCAAGGGCCAAGATTTCACAACCTTACTAGGGAAGCACTGTAACAGATCAGCCACTGTCACCGTCAAGTATTTTTGTCTTATGAAACTCACTGAAACATCACTGTTGCAACTTGCAACCATGGCCACTGTCCCTTCACTGCACACCTCAGGACGAAATCTGGCTCTGTCTTCTCTACAGTACCTCTATAGGTAGGGAGAGATGATTGAGGTATACCCATATACTTCTCTCAGCTGAACAAATCAAGCTGCTTCAGCTTCTCCTCATACAAGGTATGCTCCAGTGCCATCACGTTCTTAATGGCTCACCATCAGCCTCATTCCAATTCGCAAACAGCTCTCTTGTGTCAGGAGAAGAGAGTTGGAAGCGGAGGGAGGGGTACAACTTCATAAAATGACCCAGAGGCAGCCTCATGAACAACAAATATCTTCCTCGCCGACCTGTTGGCTATGATCCTGTCAATGTAGCCCAGTAGAGGCTTAGCCTTCATCTGCTACAAGGATGCAATAGACACATACTGAATTTGCTGTTCACCAGGACCCTTCACATCCTTTTCTGATCAGAAAAAGGCACTTACCCACTCCTTCTATCTGTATTTTCAAGAGGTATTGCTAATGGTCTAGTTACTTAACAGACCCATTCCCATACCATCCTTCTGTCAGCCTGTCACTAGCACTACTATGCGCATTTCAACATAACAAGTACCTTCCTAGTAAAATTTGTCTTTCCCTGTATGCCTTGACACAAGACAGTTTAAGGGTTAACATCAATAGTTACCAGCCATGCCTAAAACCTGTTTAAATGAATACCTCAAAGCTATAGTTTCAAGCTCTGCAAATTTACACAGAAACAACCACTTCAGCACTTCGTATTTTCATCAGAGGGCTGGAGCACCTCTGCTATGGGGACAGGCTGAGAGAGTTGGGCTTGTCCAGCCTGGAGAAGAGAAGGCTCCGGGGAGACCTTATTGCCCCTTCCAGTACCTGAAGGGGCTACAAGGGAGCTGGGGGGGACTTTTTACAAGGGCCTGTAGTGACAGGACAAGGCGTAACGGGTTTAAATTGAAAGTGGGGAGGGTTAGATTAGATATCAGGAAGAAGTTCTTCCCGGAGAGGGTGGTGAGGCACTGGAACAGGTTGCCCACAGAAGCTGTGGATGCCCCATCCCTGGAAGTGTTCAAGGCCAGGCTGGATGAGGCTTTGAGCAACCTGGTCTAGTGGAAGGTGTCCCTGCCCATGGCAGGGAGGTTGGAACTAAATGGTCTTTAAGGTTCCTTCAAACCCAAACAATCCTATGATTCTATGATTTTACATTCTGCAGTATTTTTGCATAGCAGCAGAACAAAAACTGAGACATAAGCGCAATAGAAAGCTCAGCCCTAGAGCTCCACCCACTACAGCTGGTCTCCTCTAAACTAATCTTTTCATTACACCTTTTTCCACAGTATGCAATACTAATTTTAAATACAGCCAAAAGACGCATCTTACTGCAAGAACTGAGTTTCTAAGCTTGTTTAAAAGGAGGCGATGACATTGGCTGAGCATCCTTTCAGCCGCCCCTCCAGCATGGAGGAAAAGCGCTGAAAGATGGGTTCACCTAACAGTGCAAATGCTTTCCTACAAAAAAGCCCAGTGTGTCTGATTCCTACCGCCCACTGCTGATGGGCAATGCCAGGAACAAGCAGGCACAAGTGAAATACTGATGTCCTTCTCTTCGGTTACACCTTGCAGGTAACCTGTGGAAGCAGGCAGTTAAACCTCTCCCAGTATAGTCATAAGCGGAAGGTGAGTCACATAGCTGAAGCATACTGTCCAAACGGCTATGTAAAGCACCTAACTGATGCCAAAAAATCAGATTGAGGTGAGCAAAGAAAAATGGCACGGTAACAGAGCAGAATAATTGCACAAGTGGGCATAAATGCAAAGGCAACTACAAAACCATGTCTGAACATCAAATATGACAACTGAAGCCAAGATTTCCGCTAAGCACATCAAGGTAACTACTGCCTGAGGTTTTGTTTGGTGATTAAGATGTACCATAAACCTCAGTTTAGTCTCAAACCCAGCAAGTTTCCCTTTCAAAAGCTAGAAGCAAAGTATCCTGTGACTTCCAAGTTGCCCAGTATGCAGACATAAAAGGAGAAAAGACAGAAAATGTTATCATTACTTGCAGGGAACCAGCAAAACCAACTTCTTTTAAAATTGTTTTTAAGAAACTTGATTCCCAGAATTGGTACACTGTCATTAGTAAGAATGACAGTGCATTTTATGCATTTTTAAGTGAAAACTACTTTGATTATACAAAATCCATCTCATAGAAGGCAAACGAGTCTGTAAGTATTTTTCAACCTGAAAGGGATTCATGTGAAGTATCTAACAGTAATTTTTTAACCTTTGAAAAGGGATAAGTTATCGATTCTCTAGTTCAAAGCAATAACAAGAGAACACCACCACACCTTTTTCTAGTAATGGCACCATCTTTTCCTTGCCCATTTTACAGCAGATTAATCCACATCCAGGTTTATAATTCATGTGTTCTGATGAATAACTAAAAATTATACCAGGTAATCTGACCATATCAATTCGTCCGGCTACAGAAACTGCGTGGTACTGAGCAACAACAGCTATCAGATACATCAGGAACCCTGTGTGCAACACAGCAGTCCCCACCCAGGGTTAAAGTTCCCACAGGAACAGATAAGGCCAAGACACCGAGTG